GTCCACAAATTCAAAATAAAATATCGTCCTTTCCATATCTTTTCATGCAACTGCTCTCATGTTTCTTCAAGAAATCTCTTCTCTTGAATTTCTTGTGGCATCTTTCGCATTCAAATTTAGCTTCCTTGCTACAGATTTGCCGCAGATGACTGTCCAAAGAAAACTTATTTTTGAAAACTTTTCGGCATCTTGGGCATGCCATCGGACCCAAGTAAACTGAAACATACCACAGCTTGAATAATTAAAAAGCGATGAAATCAAGATTTTTTCAAATTTAACAGAAACGATCTACTTTTTGTTGCCTATAGTGATTTTACAGATGACATTGTTAAAAGCCTCGGTGAGTGAATTCAAGATTTCTTTAAATTCAACAGAAACGATAAACTTATTGTTGCCTATAGTGATTTTACAGATGACAAAAGCCTCGGTGAGTGGAAATTGAATAATGATGGGCGCCCCATGTAAACATATTTTATTTTTTCAATCCAAAACCGTTTGTCTAACGAAAATGAGTAAGGATGTTCTTTTTGTTAACAACTAATAAGAGATTACAAAACTGATTCTCATCAAGATAAACAACAGTGGCGTGCCATTTTTAAATGTAATAAAATTATATTTTGGTCAATATCAACGGTTCAAATGAAGGTAGATGATAAATTATTTCCATTAAATTATAAAGGGATCTATCCTCTTTTGAAACATATAAAAATTAATATAATTGCCAATATGTAGGCAATCTTCCTCAGTTTTGACAGAACTCGGATTGGTCCCTTCTGAAAATGATATCAGAAGTTTCATATTGATGAAATAAATAAAAGGATTCTTTCTTACATATTTATTGAATGAATTCACTAGAACTTAGGGGTAAGAAAAGATTATCATTCAAATATCAAATGTCAACACATTGATTCATTGCGAGCACTTCATCGTGGGAACACTTCATCATCACCATCACTTAATTGTTCTTCATTGCAGAATCCGATGACACTTCATTGTGTGACATTTCAACATCTGTCGATTCGTCAGGAAGTGAAAACAGACATTCACGTATTCTGTTGGGGAGACTAGCGCTACTGTGGAAGGTCAAGTATGGAAATATTCTGTGATGTAGCTTACAATAGATATTTGAGTGACACAACGAATCATGAAGTGCAGACCAGGAAGAGATTAGAAGTCGAACACGATTGAATGAATAGACTGACAATGAAGTGGAAAGATCACTTCATTGACTGGACTCATGAGCTGAATCTCGCTTTACATTTCTTCTCTCTCCTTCTATTCTGGAACCATATTCTAATAACTCTATCTGGCAATCCAGTGAGTTTTTCCAGAGCTGCCCTGACTTCTCTATCAGGAAACTGGTTTCTGTCGAATGTCGACTGCATTATATCAGCTTGTCTCCTGCTTATGCTGGTTCTATTTTTCCTGGAAGGAAAATTGACTTCATCTCCAGGCATCATTTTTATCGTATATTCGGTATATTGGTTGATTGGGAGTGACTGTTCATTTGTCGGGCTGGTTGGATCCTGATATGGCTTCATTGGTAAGGGAGCTTCACTCATCGAGCTCGAACTGTTCTGATTGAGATTGGTTTTCATCAGTGGTTCAGTAGGTATTGAGGTGTTTGAATACTGGTTTGTTGGAATTGGTCTCTCGTTTGATGGCCACTTGGGTTGTGATGGAGATGAAAGATTCTGAAGAATTGCTTCCAAACTAGTGAGAGGTCTTGCACTGAAAACTGTATTTTAATGTAAATATCTTCAAACGTTTCAGATCATGACAATGATGCATATAAATCATTCAGGAAATCGGATCGTGGATTTCAATTGTGAAGAAATGAGTAATGTTCACTAGAATTGCTTTTTATCTACTACTGCTATGGAAAGTAGCGCATTTCTCATAGTTCTGTGAGAAATATTTTTTCTCACTGCACTTTGCCAACACCACATACATTTCCATGGTGTATCAACAAAAATCAACCAAAATTTGGCTGCTGTTCAGCTTTGAATAGTTTTCACAACTGTCAGAAGAATTTTTTCAAATTCTTTAGGATAGTTTTCATTAGTCCTTTTGATAGAAATCGCATTCTCTATCGAATATTGTTCCAACAATTCATAATAAATAATGTGATGTATACAGGGTGACACAGGAGACATGTAGCAATCTGTAGTTTTTCTATTTGGAAAACTATGATGACATTGAATATTAGAAAACAGTTAGTCAATGTTTCTCACATATTAGTAATGAAAACAAGTTATATCTGAGCGGCAAATAGTATTTGACATTTTCTCATCACGTTGAAAGCAACTCCAATTTATGATTTTCTTCTTCTGAATCCCCTACGCAGCAGAATTGAATTCCAATAATTCGGAATCGGCAATAATTCTGCTGCTAGCACTGGCAAAAATAGTCGGTAGGAAATACCAAACGTTTAGTAAAATAGGAGCCAGTCACTACATGCATCTAATAATACCACAACAAATTTTTTTTTAGTATGATACTTATAGTATAGTATGGTACAATTTTGTTGTGGTATTATTTGTTGAATTTAGTAACTGTGGAGCCTATTTTACTAAACGTTTGGTATTCACTACCTACTATTTCTCTGAGTGCGGGATATTATGAGTGATAATCTTTTTCTGGGGTAAAATTTATGTTATATATGAACATTCGAATGGACATTGGGTATTTTTGGAAATATTCTGTAAACTATTTTTGAAAAGTTTTGGTCGGGATCGATATTTGGATCAGGCGTATTAGATGAGAGAGATTATCACAAGTATTTGACACTGATAATTCTGACATCTATAGATTCGAGGATGATTGTATACCTGATGAAGATATTGCCAGCGTGAAGATAGTGCGCTGCAAATTATTTGTACAGGGTGATCCAAACTTTCCGCCCTTCGCTCATAACAGGAAAAAAACTGCAAATGCAAATTTGGCAAAGCGAGTACATTTTTGTCGTATATTCAAACATTTTTCAATCCCATTCAGTATGGCAGAAATGGTGTCATAAAATTAATTTTCCACGAAGTAATCTTGTTCTCCATATTCTGAAAGAACATATATTTTTTAACAATTTTCAGTCAAAGAGTTTTTTTATCTTCAATTGGTTGATAGCTATGGGACTCTAAACCCAGCCGACTTGATATTCATGTCGGCTGAGTCAGTTGAGATTTATTTAAGAATACCAACTTTTGAAAAACTTCCAGAATGAAACTTGTTATACTTTGTTATTTCAGAATATGAGAAAATAATTATGACTGTGGAAAAGATGATGGTTCTGACGACATTTTATTCCTGTTATTAGGGCGGCAAGTACTTGAATCACCCGTATACACATTCAGATAAATTCAATGTAAATAACTGAAGTAGCCAAATTTATTTTTCTTCGATTTAATGTTTATTTTCACTATGTATCGTTAAATGTTTCGAAAAATAATATTTCCTGCTACAACTATAATCGCATATATCACATTTGTATAATTTGCCACAATCCTGATAAAAATGAGTTCTCATCGTTGAAATGTTCTTGTAGTTCTTCCCACATTTTGGACATACTATTCGATCTAGAACCAAATTATTTGCATTACAACTGTTATCTTAGATAATGAGATGATATCCTGAATATAGATTTCCATGAATATACATTTTAATATAACAAGATCACAGGCTTCCTTCCTATACTATATCAAATATTACCATTTCGAAATAGTATGATACCTATAGTTTAATATAATACAATTTTGTAGTGGTATTATTTGATGAATGTAGTGACTGGCACCTATTTTCCTAAACGCTTGGTATTTACTATACCGACTATTACTCTGAGAACGACTTAAATCATCGGAAATATGTTTTGCCAAGCTTTATTTGAATTTGAAACTATGAAGACATTGGATATTAGAAAACAAATTTGTTATTTAATGTTCCTCACATATAAATTATAAAAACAAGTGATATATGAGCGGCAAATATTATTTGACATTTTCTCTTCACGTTGAAAGCAACTCCAATCCTAGGAGCTAAAGTTCAACTTTAGCTCCTATGAACAAAAAGTGTTGCCTAGCAACATACCGATGTTTATGTCAGTAATAAAAACGTCAATCCAAGAGCTAAATTTGTTATTAAAATGGACGAGTTTTGTGTCGATTGCAGAAAAAAATATTTCTCTACTGCTTTATAACACGCGAACTGATCTTTTTCAACTATTCTTGATAAAACAATGACTTCATTGTATTACAGTTGTGGTTATCAGCAATCACGTCTCTCATATTTGCAACACATTGAATTTGAATTCCTCAGTGTGTAGATTGAAATCGAAATTATACTAATGGAAGGTTCAAAATTCATTGGAAATTTCAAGACATTTTTACTGAAAGAAGCATTTCATTCGTTTGATGTGTTTTTGAACTGTCATTTTCTGTCTTGCTTGATGTCAAATGTGTAGTTTTCAAGACATTTCAGATAATATTTTTTTAATGCATTAAATAAATATTCTTTAATCCGGAAAAAATGAATGAAGTATCTCTAATTTTCATAGATAATATTTACATTGTATTGAATTTTTGACTTTCGTATATATAGCCGTAGAGAATAAATAGCCTTCTACTTGCATATAATAGCTATTATTTCCTCAGATATACGCTCGTTGAAAAACATACTACCAACAAAATATATTGAAATGAATTTTTTATTATATTCCAGTATACCTTATTGTATCTCGAAAACGATGCAACTATTTTCATGTCAGGAATACGTAGCAGAATCGTTAATTTGCCTCTTTGAAACACTCTGCTTATTCAAAGATTATAAATAACAATGGAAATGAAAGGAAAGTATTTTCACTCTGAATCGTTTTGACTAGATATATGAACCATGGCATCAAATGAAGTTATTTATATCTAATTCACAAGTTATTTTCATTATTTCTATGTTTCGTTAAATGTTGTGCAAAACGATATTTTCTACTACAACTATAATCACACATTTTACACCTATAAATTTTTCCACAATCCTGAGAAACGTGAGTTCTCATCGTCCAAATATTTTTGTAGTGTCTTCCACACTTTGGACATACTATTCGGTCTGAAATAAAAATATGTAGTTAGATTTCCAGAAAAATGAGGGTTCATATAATTGCCATCTGTACCAGAAGGTGCCTATTTTCAATGAAAAAATATTTTCGAAGAGTTTGAATGAGAAATGATAACATCAAATATCAATATTGAATGAGTATGTCGCGTGAATTCGATAAATGTGTATACAACCCATTGGACTGAGCAGTAGATAGGTAATTTTATCATATATAATAGGTACCACAAGTGATAATATTTTGCCGGAAATATTCGGTGATTGTTACGACTGCTTGTTGCCTAGTAATTTCGTGAATGACATTGTTATCAAAACTACGAGCCGTAGGCGAGTAGTTTTGGATCAATGTCATGAGCGAAATTAGAGCAGCAAGCTGTAATATGTCAATCAACGAATATTTCCAGGAAAAATAGTATCACGAGTTGTATTCGTATGACTATTTCATGATTGAATGAGACAATATACAGGGTGTTTCCTAACTACGGTTCCTAACTGCAGGAGGTGATTTGTCAGGTCATTTCAAGAAGAAAAGTTCCTATGAACATATGTCCGGACATTGCTTCGTTTCTGAGATACAGGGCGTTGAACTCAAAGAAAAAAAAAAGGTTATTATAAAATATCCTGAAAATCCTGGAACCGATCTGGTGGAAATTTGGTACTTTTAGTTGTAACATTTTTTAAAATTTCAGCATATCAAGTGTCAATTGAATTTTAGGCGGAAATAATGAAAAACTCATTTCTCCAATGCAGGTGTTCATGATATGCAATACAGTGACTTTCATTTTTTTTCTCGAAAACGAAGCTGGATATGAAGAAAATGCAAGAGATCAAAAAGTTGTATTTTGAGTTGCTCAATCTGAACAGGATAAAAATTTACTAAAAAAAGTCAATGGCCTACTTTTTTTCACAATATTGTTGGCTGTGATGCCCACTGCGACGCCACTGGCCCCAATGATTTCAATCTGAATAGTGCTAAATAAGCGCCTTATTAGTTCAAATGGAATTTCCAAATTTCAACCAAATCGGTTTTAGGATATTCATGATATTTTATAATTGACGTTTTTTTTACTTCAATTTCAACGCCCTGTATCTCAGAAACGAAGCAACTTCGGATATATGTTAATAGAAACTTTCCTTCCTAAGATGACCTAAAGAATTACCACCTGCAGTTAGGAAACGTAGTTAGGAAACACCCTGTATATAAGAAATAGAAAACATAATTTAAGTATATTCCAACTCGAACTGCGAAGAAGAACATAATGATAGTAATGAAATACAGAATTCACTTTTTTAGAAATTAACTACCTACTTATAGTTATTCACAAAGTGGAATGTACAATTTTGATAAACAATATTTTTTTTATTATCTTGGAGATAGTTGCTTTCAAAAGAGTGCATACAATCACTATCCAATTCAAACAAAATAAATTGAATTCATGTGACATGGAATTATTAAAAAAAAAAGGATAACGTCGCCGAGGGCTCGAACCATCGACCTTCGTATCCTCGCGCAACATCCCTAACAGGTGCGCCACATCAGCTAGTAAATATATCTGTCACTCTGTCAGTCACAATAACTTGAGTAATTGAAGAAGATTATTTCAAAAAAGAATTTGAATTCTATTATTGTTGTGTCAGACCGTCAACAAATATGCAAACTTTTTAAATTACACATGAAACGTCCAGCCAGAATGAAATTGTCTCGCCATTCGTACAAAATATCTCACTAACGCGAATTATAAGTAAATAAAATGAAGTAGGAACTTAGGTTATTGTCTCAGATATGAATCCAAAGCAATCTTGACCAGACACGATGTCAAAATTTTATCGCTGATAAACGAGGTTAGTTGGTCACGTGTGGGTCAATTCGGCTTCTGTATTGGTAGAGCAAGTCCGATAAAATTTAATAAACAAAAAATATCGCTAGAATACAGAAGAAACCATGATCGATTCTGATTGGTTCTTGGGATCAAGAGTGGAATAGTCACAGAAATCCACAATCATATTCCTCAGACCACACACACGAAAAAATGTTATGTAATAAAAACATGGATACTTTATTCAAATCATCTTTGTGGCATTTGAATCAATAATATACTAAAATATTGAAAAACATATCAATGAAATTCTATTTGCTCCAATTGATGACATTATGAACATTGGCCATATGGGTCTTCAAATTCCCTTTCAGCTTGAACTTCTTGGGACATAGGTCACACTCAAATTGGGGCATCTTGTTGCACTCGAACTTCGTATGAGTGTAAATGGAACTCACATGTTTGTATTTTTTGTGGCAAGTCTTGCAAAAATACACTATCTTGTCGTGTTCCTCCATTTTATAGTACAGTTGGGACAAGCCTGAAATCATAACAATAAATGTAGATTCCAGCAACTACTAAGATGGTACAATGGTAGAAAGAGATGGAGAAAACATCAATAGAGCATCTGTCAGTGACGTAATATGACGTAAAATTGTGGACATCGGACGATTGCGCGCAGCGTTCAGAACTATTTTCTATTTTCAATAAGTAGAGAAGGAATAGGACGATTGAATCAGCTGGTTTCAAAACGACAACCCTATTTTTGGTGGAAAAATGAGTTGAACGGCAATTGATTCCTGTTATGGTCCTCTACGAATTGATGTCAAAACTACACTTCAAAACCTGGATCGAACCAAATCACTCAGAGGATATCAATTAAACCTAAAGTTTCATCGGCGTATAATCTTTTTATTGAAAAATCTGAAACCAACATGAAAGAAAAAATCCTTGTCATTTCTGGAATTATGTGAATTCAAAACAGAATGAGTCTCGTATACCAGCTATTGTCAATGCAATCGCAATACATTTCAGTAATGCTCATAATATTGATATTGATGACATAACCTCAACTGAAGATAAAATCAATAAATAACTTTCAAATCCTAGTCCATTTATAAATATCAAGGAAATAACTAAAGAGCAAATGATAACAGCTGCAAAAAAGCTCAAGAATAAATTAACGTGTGGATCAGATCTAGACCTTTAGGCATTACATTCAACGTAATTATGAAAACATGTAATGTTTCAACAATTTGGAAGTTATCACGTGTGTGTCCAGTATTCAAATCAGGAAATATTTCGGATATTGAAAACTATAGACCGATTACACTAATTTTTATATTCATCAAATTACTAGAAATAATCATATTCGACTCAATTTACAATCACGTTCGAACTTCTCTATCTGTAGCACGGGAACAATCTTATGTATCTTTCACCCAATATGTGCCTAATGCTCTTGACTGCAAAAATCAATCATATGTAATTTATACAGACTTCAGCAAAGCATTTGACCATGTATCACATCAACAATTATTGAAAAAATTGTCTAGCTTCGGCATATCCTATAATATTGAGTGAATACTGAAATCTTCCTTATCAAATAGGAACTTATTCGTAGAGTATATAACAGTGTCAAATCATTCACTTTCAAGGCAATTTCAGGAGTACCACAGGGTTTCAATTTAGGACCCTTACTGTTCCTACTTTTTATTAATGATATATGTGATCGTATACAGTCTGTTAGACTACTATTTGCTGATGGTATGAAAATCTACAGAGAAATTAAAACTATCGTTGACTGTCAACTATTACAACTGGATCTTGATCTACTCAATGATTGGTGCCTCAAAAATAAACTCTCTTTGATCACCAATAAATGTGAAGTCGTGACTTTCACACAAAAATCCACCCCAATTTCATTCGATTATCACTTGGATACTACACAACTAACACGAGTTCAACAGTTCAAAGATTAAGGAGTTCTTTTTTATCAAAAGTTGACTTCCTCCACTCATATAGAGAGTAAATAGGCAGAGCTATGAAGTCTTTGGGATTTTTGATCCGTACCTGTAAGGAATTCAAATCATTTGATGCTTTACCCTCTGTATCTATTTCTCATTGGTGAAGATCAAATTAGATTACTGCAGTGTCGTATAGAATCAATGTCATTCCAAATATATTGAAGCCATTAAATCAGTGTGAAGGGAGTTTTTGAAATATGCATACTATAAAAAATATGGCGTGTATCCTCAAAGACACTATAGCTATGACCTATTGCTCAACGAATTCGATTTATTTTCTCCTTAAAAACATCGCGAAATGATCGTTTCAACTTTTATTCATGAAATAATCTATAATCATATCGATTCATCCTCATTACTTTCTCTGATTAATTTCAATGTACCACGAACTGTGTCAAATCAGATATAACGTTCCGCATTGCTGTGCCTAACACACAACATCATCTCCATTGTCCCTCACATCAATGTGCCGATTTAACAATTAAGTATTGATATATTTCTTCTCCCAATGTCTCAATTCAAGCATAAACTATTTAGTGCATTGAGGAACTAGTGTCACATCTATGTTAGTTTATATTCTATTCAAGTTATGCATAGATATAGGTATTTATTTTCAGCGATCCAACTAATATCTATGTATTATTAAATACACCTGTAAATGGGCATTAGCCTGCTGGATGTAATAATATCAAATGAATTAATAAACAAATGAATGAATGAAAATATTCAGTTTGTTTCAAAACTCGACAAATTCAAGTAGCATTGGAATCAAACACCGACAAATCCAAATCAGTCAATCACAGCTATCTTTGGATGTCACGTCGAACAGTGATAATATGCCTCATATATGTCTGTTACTTGAGCTATTTAATTTCGGGGCAAATCCCCACAAATCCAAACGTGTGATTTGCAAAAACCGATGAAAATCTATATAAGTGGAAATCGAAACCCGAAAATTTTTTTTCATTCAAATCTTGCCAATATTCATGCGTTCTTGAAAAAATTATCTACGTTGTTCAATAAATAAAAATATCTTATTCAGGTGCCCGCGAAATATTTATGCATCCAAGTAACATAGTCCAACAGTTCTTCTCAACTTTTCCAAATTTGATCTCAATGTGTTAGTTGGGTTCTGAATCTAGACAATTCAATTGTGCGCTAATTAAACTTGTAGATACGAGCCACTCTCAAAAAAATCGACTGGAAGGTTCATATCTTACAAAGGAGACTCTTTTTAGTTAACAATCTAACCTCTCTTGGCCTGAATAAACCTTCCTCATAAAAAGTATACTTTTCGGAAGGAAACTACTGTTTCTGAAAAATCTAACCTTACGCGGCCTTAAATAACCTTCTCCCTATAAAATATAATTTTCAACACCGATCCATCGATCGAGGAAGACTACTGTTTCTGAACAATTTAACCTTACTCGGCCTTAGTGAACCTTATTCCTATAGAGTATATTTTTCAACATCGATCCGTCGATCTAAGGAGACTACTTTTTCTGAACAATCTCACCTCACTCGTGCTATTTCTTCGAAGACAGTATTTTTCGGATGATCACTTCAGAACCATATGAAGAAAAAACAGATCCTCGCATGGATTGTACCCGATGTTGTCTGCGCACGCAATCAACCCTTATTTTTTTTGTTTATTTTGTAACCGATGAAGGCTAAATTGACCGCGGCGCGATATTGACCTACAGCCAAAATTGTCGGCCATTGAACAGCTACTGGAGGACAAGCATACATATTTTTTATAAGGGTATACCTGTAACTTCTATGCACAATGCCAACTATAATAATGTACCTATACAATACCTGAAGCATATTATTATTGACATGTTTGTTAATTCATTCATCATAAATATAGTAGGATAAAAGGGAAAGAGTCCAATGAGGAGTTCGAATCCCCAATGGGTCAAAATTCACACACAGCTTTGTTTGTCCCCCGATCAGCTGATGAAAACGACAAGTGTGCCATATTGTGACGTCAACTGACACTAACTTCTTTATTAGATGTGCTCTCCCTTCACATGTAACGAAGTGCTTCCCCCTTTACATTTAACGAAGTGTTCACCCCCTTCACATGTAACGATAGCACTTCACGAATAGATTCGACGATAAAAGCGCGCCAGCGATGTATCATACAGGGTGAGTCATGAAGAACTGTACATACTCCAACTACGAATATAGAGGCACCTGAAGAAAATACCTCATGACCATCAGGAAGTGTCTGCTCTTCTTCTTCACTGATACATAGGGTGAATTATATGGGATTTGGCAAGAACATATTTTGGTCATAACTTTCCAACAGCTGATTTTCGAATGGGATATCCTGCTACTACTCTTCAATCGACTGACTTATTCAGAATCAGGAAAATCCAGGACCGTTCTTGAAAAATTTTGCTAGTTCAATTTATATAAAAAAGTTCATCGTGTATTTGGTTTTTATAACTGTGACAGGAAAAATTCAGAGGTCACAAACAAACATCGGCAATGATATATCCGAAATTTTTCCCACACTTTCACACAATTTTTTAAAAAACGATACATGTTAAGAAAAGACATTTTTGCAACAAATACATTTATTTGAAAATGAATACTTCGCAAAGCATAAATTTCACGATTTAAAGTGAGACTGGCAATTTCAATACTTCAGCTCAATGGAAATCAATATGTTCTTCGATTTCTTGGCCTGATGAGTCTTGTCATTCTATTTTCTTGTGGAGGGTATATTAATCACCCTGTAGATGTTTTTCGAATCAGTGGATGGGGTATCTGTATGCATATTGATGGCAATGGATTCAGATGATTCTAGAAAGTCAATCAAAGGATGATAATGATTATTCTTCTGTACGGCAAATACATGACCAAAATAACTTGATAAAACAAATCGAATCGTTAAATTGAGAATTGATAATCATGAAATTATTCAAATCGATGGCCATCAACATCCATACAGATACCTCCCATCCACTGATTCGTGATAGATCTACAGGATGATTTGATTATTATACCCTCGCACAAAAAAAATAAAATGACGAAATCCAGGCCTGGAAATAGAAGAACATGTTGATTTCCATTGAACTAAAATATTGAGAATGTAAGTCTTACTTTCATTCGTGAAATTAATGCGTTGCGAAGTATCAATTTTCAAATGAATGAATTTGTTGCCAACATTTCGTTTTTCTAAAAATGTATCGTTCTTAAAAAAATTCTGTGAAAGTGTGAGAAAAATTTTGGATTTTTTAATTTCGATGTTTGTTTGTGACCTCTCAATATCCCCTGTCACAGTATAAACTTTTTGATATAAATTGAGGTAGCACAATGTTTCAAGAACGGTCCTGGATTTTCCTGATTCTGAATAGGTCAGTCAATTAGATAGTAGTAGCAGAATATTCCTTGTAAAAATGAGACAAATCGAAAAAGCTGTAGAGAGGTTATGTATGACCAAAAGATGTTTTTGCCAAATCCAATAATTCACCCTATATATAAGTGAAGAAGAGGAGAAGACAATTTCTGATTTTCATAAGGTATTTCCCTCAGGGGCCTCTATTCGAGGTAGGAGTATGTACAGTTCCTCATGACTCGCCCTGTATAAATGTTCATGAGGCGGTTGTTAGGCGAGGTTAGTGATAAGTATAGTAAAATTTCATCAGATTCTGCTTTTGTAACATAGGGATGTACTCTGCGAAAAGAATAAATAAATAATTGCAAATGTTCTATCATTACTGAAATGATTCATTTTCATTTGTTTGAATTTTCTTTTGTTTTGTGCCCAGTGATAACTTGCAATAGGTACTATCTGTGATGAACATAATCTTCATCTGTGATATTGATCAATCTTCGATTGTTGATGGATATTTAATTGTAAAGATTTATATTATCTGTATACTAACATTTTTCTCCTGCATTAACAAACATATAACTTCTCTCTTCTGGCAAATTATCTGTATCATAGATTAAAAAAAAATTTATTGGAACAGTATTTTCTCTCAGTAACTTCTCAATACATAGATGATGAAAATACCATAACCAGTATTATTATGTATATAACCGGACAGAAGTAAGTGTCTATCTAATGTATAATGTTTCATGAATTCTTCAGGTTTTTTTTTATTGCTTGGAGCGCACGAAAGGTAATCCCTATAATGTTCAAAGAACATCGTGCGTTCCTAGGGAGGAACAGGAGGTAGGTATTGGAATTTTTTTTGAACTTCTGGAGATTATATTTTGTTGGGAATACTTCCTCAGGCAATGAATTAAAGAGCCTAGCCGATCTATGGATGAAGGAGTTTTGATAAAGTGCTGTTCGACATCTTTGGAGGTTGACAACGAAAGGATGTGCTGACTGGGCTTTTCTAGTTCGTCTGACTGGTATTGCTAGTGAAGGGACGATAGCAGATATTTCCGAAGAACATTTCAAAATAATACTTTTTTTTTTCATGAAATATCCTCTTTTCACCTGATACAAGAATCTTTATAACATTTTGAAAGTTTCACTAGGTACATTATAAACCTGAAGGATGGATTCAATCGATTTTTGTGCTGGAACATAAAAAGGCATCATAGAGCCTTTTCAATGAATGAACCCATTCCTATAATTACTAATAACTTAATTAAATCAGTTCAATTCAGTTATATAATTATTATAAGGAATAAAGAGACTGTGATATTTATTGTCTACAATATATTTCTCTGGTATAATATTTCAAATTCAAATCTTCGTTCAATATGGCATTTCAGGACATGAAGTTTCATGTCATATTTTTGCCTCGTACTTTTCGGGCAATATGGGCAGTGAAACTGATTTTTTTTTCCACATTCGTAGCGAATGTGCCTCGACAATGTAGACTTCTGTAGATAATGTCTTCCACAAATAGTGCACATAAATTTTGCTGAAAAATAAAATATTTATAATTCAATAATATTAATTTGAATTATCAGAAAATGTCAGAAAAATAAGGAAGAGCGAAATGGATAAAGTATTGTTATATGATAAACGATATAGTGTTTTGAAAAAAAAATTGTTAGTTTTGTATCTAGAGCGCGAAATGCTACTTTGGTGATCAAGATCCGATTTTTTAACGAGGCGTAGCCTTTTGTAGTGGCTGAATATATTGACTTTATATTCTAGGGTCATGGAGTGTTCATCAGGAGCGCCCAGTCGCCATCTATAAATCTTAATTTTTCTCCAAAATATAGTATTCATGCATCAACTTCATTATGCCAAGTTTCAATTTTTTAACTCGTACAAAAAATAAAAAATGGGGAAACTTAAAGAAAAGTACTTTATGTCCAAGAGTACCATCTGTCAGAAGAGTGGTTTACTATACTTGTAGTACTACCCTGTACTCTGTACCGTTGATAACTATAGATGACAGAGTTCTATACTGTGTATAGCGTGGTTCTGATGATGAATTGAACCCGCTTTCAAGTTTACGCTAGTAGATGGCGATGAAACATCGTATTAATATATTTTCCGGCAGTGGCGGCTCGTGGTGATTTTATTTGCTGTTCTTCAATTTTTGACAAAAAAACTATTTTTTCTGTGACGAAAAAAAAGTTAGACGTTCTATCTCTGTGGACAGCTTACAAAATGTCAAGTTTCTCCTTTTTCCACGGAAAAAAAGTGAGTACTTTCTTCCTGATATAGGTGTCCTGTTCATGGGCTATTTTTATCCCTGTTCCGAGCCAATTACACCGTCTCTGAGAAAGAACTGAACATCCTTTTTATCTTCGCGGTTACGTGAATTGCCAAACAGTCACTAAAGTTTTAGTGAAGTGGCTGAAACTCATTTTTTGTCAAAAATCCTTTGTTTCCATAAACACATTTCCAAAGCATTGTGTTGGTCATGGAAATTGATCTTCAGTCACAACATACCTTCTTTCGGAATAGAACTTTTCCTTCAAGAAGAACAAGTTATATTCTACAGGCACCGACATCAATTCACTTGGAGAATAGGAAAGTGACCAATTTGGCCCACCCTGTACAGCCGGCTACCGCACAAGCTGAGCAACTTTGTACTGAGCTAAGTATGATTGTATCAGATTGTTCTGGTCTAAGGAATATACGGTATGTTTTTATGAAGACCCCTTGAGGACACCCTGTAAAGTAGTCCAGAAGTATACTAGATCGTAGTAGTGTAGGAATCTGTTGAGTTTTGAGCTAGTCGACTGATTAGAGGACATCTCGGTCAACAGCATTTTTTCTACATCTGTATACGTTGGGTATGACAATTGAAATAAAAGAGGCAATTATAAATAAAAAGGATCTTTAATATAAGCATTGTTACATTGTACATATTTTGTGTAGATGTAGCTGATGAGCTACTGCTTTTTCACCTGATGTTTCAATTTTATATGTCTTCGTAGATTGTATAATCTTTTAGCTTTGTATGCGCAGTAATGGCAGTGGAATTTTGGTTCTTTTTGACACTCGAATGTTAGATGTTTCCTCAGAGATGTAGCATGCTTGTATCTCGTTTGGCAAACTTCACATCGATACGTACCTGAAAAATATAAACCGACTCATTATCATAAGTTTTATCACGATGTTCTGAATATTCGAGATGATTCTGTCGCTTCATTGTTCACGAAATCGTGTTGCCGAGCAACACCACGAGTCCGTCAGGACGAGTGATATTGTTGTACAGCAACACACAACTAATTATGAGAAGATTTTCAGAACAGGGTGGTTTATTGCTAAACTATTTCATGTTCACGCAGCATAAAAAGCATTTATTATAAATGATTGATTCATTCTGACAAGTACAGCCATGATTATTTTATGTCAAACGACAGACTTCACTTCGCTATCCATGGCATCCAGACTTTGCTTCGCTATCCATGATTACATCGTTGAAAACATCAACGCTGATTGACCAATCAGAATTGAAAGGTTGCTAATGTTTTCACGATAAGCACACGTTGTCTATGTGGCTTGTGATTGATTGAATTATGTGATGAGTGAAAAAGTCAACCAAATCTTGACTTTTCTCAGAACGTATCGAATGACATTTTCCATTGTGTTGGAAAGACACGTTGCTGATGCAATCAGTAATAAAATGCTTCATGGTTTTTTATCGCCTATTTCATTCAGTTTTTACTTTTATTCTCTTCACACGATACAGAAGAACCGTATATAAAAATGTCCCTGCTCCAAACATTATTCTACCAAGTATTCTTGATCAGTTGCTGCAGACTGAAAAGGAACTGGAATATTGTGAAGAAATAATTATAGGCTGAACATTCAAATATGTATAGTCCAAAGAAAATAAAATGTCCTGAACAAAAAAGATAATGAACCACCACGACAGCACAATAAGATACTCGATGAATATTCATGGAATATTCTTTTTGGGATCTGGGAATAAACATGCCAGGCCAGGAATATACATATCTTCGATGGAATATTCCTTGAAAGTGCGCTGGTATATAGGAAAGAATGTATATATTCCCAGAAAATTACACTATGAATATTCCTTATATTTACTTACATATTCAGAATGTATGTGTAATATAAACAAATGGATGTTCCTGGAATATCCGAGATGTGCTCGAAATCGTGACATCCAGCAACGCCGTAACCCCTGGGCCAGTAATAGAGTTTAATGATATTGCATGTACCTATACATAACAATTTCTTGAAAGAGCGTTGTTCAGGATAGGACCATGAACACTTTCTGTTCCAAAATCCCGATAAATTTGAAAAATGTTTGAGACTCACATCACACACACATTTGATTGCAAAAAATGGGAATGTTCATGGAATATTCCATGAATGATCAAGACTATTTAGTATTATCTGGGCACGTTCGATATCAAATGAAAAACACGACCTGCTACTTTTTTGGAAAATGGTGAGAGTTATTATATTGTTACGTTATTCGGGTGCAGAAGCGAACACGACACTATTTATTTTCGAACTGATTTATTTGAACTATCGAAACACTAATTTATAACGAACTTATAACTACTATTTATGTAAAACGATTTATATCACGCGGTATATAACTGTCTCTCTGACACTCGCTGCTCGACTGTCTGACTGACTGCAGTTGTTCGGCCGTTTATATATGAGGTCACTTGGCAGGCTTTGGTTCGAGAACGTTCTCGAATTATCTTCCGTCCCCTTCTTTTTGTTCTAGAAGCTTCTTAGAACAAAACCTCTCTCTCTAATTGTTTCATCGACCGTTTCCAGAACATTCCAGAATCTTCTGTGACGTTATTTGTCACTGCGGCATATATTGAGTGTTCGGAAATATGCTGGTGCATGTAGGAATCATTGGGAGGTTGGAGAACGATCTGGGATGCGTGTTACAGGATGATTGTTGTACTCCTGCCTTCCTGCTGATGTTTCTAGTGCCCCTTTAAGGGGAATATCATTACAATATGTATACTATATTCTTCAAAAGTTCACGAAATTAAAATTGTGTGCAATCAGATTAGTGTCACACATTCCACATTATTTTAAATCAGTATATACTTCGAATCCAGCTTATTGGAGGAGTCTCATGAGAATGAAAGGAAATTCAAATCCAACGAAACTATTTTTATTACTAAACAATTAAAAAGTAACAATTCCTCTTTGTCATCAGCGGCATTAAACAAAAAAATACACTATTTGAATGCACAAAAACAATATGTTGGGCGTTAAAATAAAAAATGAGAAGTTCTCTTGTCTGATCTGTTCATTCATTGGCTAACCCATCATCTTTTTTCTTCATCTCCCTATTGAGCCTTTGGCGGCTCAATCTAAACCATTCCCCTGCATGTTTCTCAATGTCAGCGCATGATATTGATGGATGACTGCTGATAATAGTCTCTGAAAATATTAACAATCATAATGATTGGTTGGCAATGGAAGTTTAATATACAGTGCTTTACTTCAATGCCCCCCTCCCCTTCTATTCTTTGAACGGGCAAACTGGAAGAAATTGAAACTTGGGCTAGTTAAATTGATGCATGAATACTATATTTGAGAGTAAAATTGACAGATGAATTTTTTTTTAAAGCTCCTGATGAATATTTCACAACCCTAGAATATTATGTAAATATCTTCACCTACCTACTACAAAATGGCTGATCATTCAATTGTAGCCTGAATACAAACACATTATTATGGATATTGCATTCCAGTATGATGGGGCACCATCACATCATCCCAGACAAATTAGAAACTTCCTGGGTAAAACTTTTCCCGGTCGTTGACTGGTCCTACGAAACGGCCAACTTGCTCACAAAATGCGACTCCATCAGAATTTTTTCTATTGGACTATATATCAGATTATATTATGAAGTTGGACGTCGATGAATATATGCCTAACCCGAGATCTGTTTGATATTTTGGACTTACGACAACTTCATTTTCTAACAGCAGTGGTTCGCTAACAAAAGTACAGAGCTAAGTTAGAACCCATTAATCACCCGTATGGAACCAGACAAAAATCTAATCAATCACGAGTAAAGAGACAATCAGAAAATGTTCTTCAGAGAAGCTTCTTATATCTTGGATCCAAATTATACAATGTTATTCCAAGAGACTCATAATAACAAAATGTTTCATAGTATGATATATACAAATGATATTGCTATTTTCATTTCACTTTCTCATTCTTATTATCATCATTATCTATCATATATGTTCGTTACCAGTATAACTTGTTTCTCCTTTTTTGTTTATTTTTATACATGTATATTATATAAGTACATGGATATGTATGTTTGAGTTTATTCTCTTTCGCAAACAATAATACATAGGAATATACAGGGTGATTCATATTTTAGAGCACAAACTGGAATGGCAGGTAGATCTCATTATTTTAATCAGAAAAGTTCATATTTACATCAGTTCGATCTCGTTCAGTATAGCGGAGCTACAGGGGGTCAAAGTTCAATTATTTTTTTTATTAATTGAAATATCCCGCTTACTTTACAAGATATCATTTGAAAATTTGGTGTTGTCGATACTATTCAGAATATCTACAGTTCAAGCCATTTTAAGATTCTCAAAATCCACAGGGTGATACGGTTTTGGGGGTAGAGGCTTCTTTAACCCCCCCCCCCCCCCCAAACTTTCTCGTAGTACGCCTCTGGTACCTTCTTGCGATCAAACTGTGCGGATCGTTCAATTTAGAGGCTTTTTTGTTCCTAAATTTTTTTCGAGAATCGAACTGTTTTTGAGATAATTGAGTATATACGTTCTGAAACATGATAATTTTGCCTATATTCCGCTTAAATTTCATTCAACTGAAAGAATGATTGCAATTTTAGGGAGTGCATTTCATTGTATTCAATAAAAATGCGAAACATAGGCAAAATTAACATGTCTTAGAACGTGTATGCTCATTTATCTCAAAAACGGTTCGTTTTCTCGAGAAGAATTAGGAAGCAAAATTGCCTCTGAATTGAACGATCCACACAATTTGTTCAGTGAAAGATGCCAGAGGCGTACGACGAAAAATTTTGGGGGGATAAAGAAGCCTCTACCCACAAAAACATATCACCCTGTAGATTTTGGAAATCTTCTGATAGCTTGGAATGATGATCTTCTAGGAAGTATTGACCACACCAAATTTCAAAATATAATCTCAAGAAGTAAGCGAGATATTTCAATTGATAGAACAAAATTATTGAACTTTGACCCCCTGTAGCTCCGCTTCTGGACGTGATCGGACTAATGTTTATATGAACTTGTCCGATTGAAATGATGAGATCTATCTCCCATTACAGTTTGTGCCTCAAAACCTGAATCACCTTGTATATTTATAGCTCATGATTTTGCAATCCACGCTCAAGGTTCGCCTTATGTGGGATAATTCAATTTATTTGCTTCTGCCTGAGATAAATATGTGTGGAAACAATGTATCACTATATTGACTGAGTAAATAAATATTATAATTATTATTATTGAATGTTCCGCTATTTTGAAGTAGGTGGAGATATCGCCTTTATATTCTAGGGTCGTGAAGTATTCATCAGGAGCTTCAGAAGAATGTATCACAAGACTTACCTTTCCACTTAATTTTCTTTTCAGATGGCGCCGAGTCGCCATCTTGAAGCTATTATCTGTCAATTTCACTTCAAAATATAATATTCATGCATCAATTTCAATATGTCAAGTTTGAAATTTTTCAGTTGAACTGTTCAAAAAATAAAAGAAGTGAAGGAACATTAAAGAGAAGCACTGAAAGTATATATATTACCTGTTAATATTTTTATTGAATTCAAGTCTTTGATTTTGAAGTTTCCCCGTTGTCCAAACCATGAACACTGTGTAGCCAACTCATTTGTGAATAATTGGGTGAGGCATCTCTGAAGAAGGTCTTTTCCATCTCTTCCACCCAAACATTTCAAGAGGTAAGCCTAAAATGTGAATATAACAAGGTTAATGAGATAGAAGCAAATTACCCTCACCGGCAGAAAAAACTAGCCATCAGTAAAAAAATTGCCAAATTGATCGCCCTAAGGAAATTTCGAACAAATTGTAGATTTAGGTTTTGAAGTCTCAGCCTGTACCTCAATTCTTGAAAAACGCTAGTGACTTGATCGTTATACAGGGAAAAACAAAAATTACATTTTCAGCATTAAATTTTTAACGCTCTGTGATTTGATAATAATTAACAATCATACAGTGTCTGTTAATAAATTCATGTATTTCTTCATTATGATACATTTTTTTATTATGAATCCACGTAATATAAACAAGAATAATCGATATTTCATTCTATCATTAGTTTGGTAGTTATAAAAATTCATTTGGTAATTCATTGGATTTATACACAATGGTTCTTGATTCAAGCCGTCAATATTTCCTTTCCAAGGAAAGACACAACCCTCAAAGAACAGTTTGGTTATATTGAATAAATATGATCAACTGTTACCAAATCCGTTATTGAAATATGGCTTATTGAACGTTTGTTTGCATGGGAAAAATGAATTATTTGTCCACACCCCCATGAATAAACCTCATGTCCTGCGTTGAATCATGATTATTCCATGATGATGTTCATTTATCAATTGAGAATATATATTTCTTCACCCACACCAATGGATATTTATTATCACAAAATATTTGTTCACAGTAACCAAGTATTAACTCATGAACACAGCATGAAAAGAACCCTTCATTGCAAATGAACAAATATTTTGTTCGCTGATATTAATTGATGATATTCAATGTCTTCATTTTTACTTTTACCAGTAGTGGATCACCCCTAGGGGTGTTTCTAAGCCTTATATCGATAACAAATTCAGTAACAGTCAACGAATATTATTTATATAAGTATATAACCAAACTATCCGATCAGAGCTGGTGCTCTCAGTTATGATGGCATACCTACATTTCATTTAAATATATGATCTCGCAACCGACCCTCAATTATACTCCTGTTACTTTCTTTCAAATCAAAGCGAAGCAAATAATATAAGAAAATAGTCATGTACTAGGTATTCGCACCTACTCACGTACATAATTTTCTGATATTGTTTGATAAGCACAATTTCTTGAGAACATACTAAATGGAGTATAATTGATGCAATGATAGTCGTCTCCAATTTTTTTCATATGAGATGCCGTATATGAAATTATCCCAAGTAGCAAATTATAGACGTATATACATATCCAAATGTAAACGAACTCGCACTGTCATATAGCTGTTCGAACTTATATAATCATCACACTTCGCGGCTTTCGCGGTGGTCTGAATCACAAGGAAATCACCAAATATTTCATGGAGACACCAAACGAATAATAGAATGAAATATCGATTGTTCTCGTTTATATCAAGTGGATTTATGGTTGAAAAATGAATCATAATGGAAAAACACATAAATTTATCAACAAACACTGTATGATTGTTAATTATAACCAAATCAAATTATAATTGTGAATTTATGTTATTGGTTATCACTGCGTGGATTGGCGTAATAGATGAATGGTTAATTATCAAATAATTGTGTTCACAATGAACTAATAAAGCAGTATAATAAATCACTTATTGCTGATAAATGAAGCAAAGAATCAAGTATACGAGTTTGATGAATAAGCCTCTTCAATTATGAATATGGCTAATTAATTATGAACAAATTTTACGTTAATAAACATTTGATAATTATAACTGAGATTTTTGTTTGGTGAAGTGTTCAAGAAAGTATGGATTATTTAGAATTTCTATAAGCAATATTTCAGAATCATTGTCCAACGTTCTACTTCATCTTTTTATGATCCCTATTCGTCTCTTCTTCACACAATAGTTTTTGATTTACGTCAATATCTTATCCTTGAGAGAAGATACAAATGTTTCAAGAGAGTATGGATCAGGAGCCGGTATTTATGGGGCCAAGCCAAAGACAAGAATCTCACTGAGCTTAGGTAAATACGCGACGGTGTTTCAGGCAGAAATTATTGCAATACATCATTGCGTGAAAGAATTGATAAGGCAAGAGTTTAAAGGCAAAACCATTGCAATCTATTCAGATAGCCAGGCGGCAATCAAAGCAGTCAACTCTATGCAAGTTAACTCAAAACTAGTATGGGACTGCTTAGAAACCCTAAATGCACTGGGCAGTCAGAACAGACTGACTCTAGCATGGGTACCAGCACATACAGGGTACGAGGGCAATGAAGAGGCAGACTCACTTGCCCGAGCAGGAGCAAACAAAGCTCTGAATGGCCCAGAACCCTTCTGTGGTATTGCGAAAGCTATACAAAAGACTAGTATCAAATCATGGATGCAAACCAAATCTCAAGAATGGTGGAACAAATCGCCAGGAATGAGACAGGCAAAAGGGTTTATTAAAAAACCATCGCCAACATTCACAGAATATCTACTAAGCCAGAAACGAAGTTCAACTAGAATACTAGTGGGACTTCTCACAGGGCATTGTAGGCTCAACAAACACATGAGTACGATAGGTCTGACTGAAGAACTGCTGTGCAGGTTCTGTCAGGAAGAGGAGGAAACAGCAGTACACATACTTTGCCACTGTGAGGGTTTGTCAAGACTAAGGTTCCTTACGCTGGGTGAGGAAAAACCAGAAGCCCAGAGATACACAGGGGATCTGAAAGCTAGCCTATGGAGTCTCATAGAGAAGACGGGGCTAGCCGAAGAACTCTAATCGATTTTGAGGGCAGACACAATAGATCTGAAAAGGTCGCGGTGTGGAGGCAGATAGCCCGAAGGCCCCATTCTAAATCTAATCTAAATCTAAATGGATTTTCAAAATTAAATTAAAAATCACCAATATCTCAGTACCTAGAGGGCACCTTTGGGATGAACTTCTGAGGAATTCAACTTCTTCCCCCCTTGTCGGAGACTTTTCAAGAGCTACGATTTGCCCTACAAGAAGAATTTGAGGCAATAACTCCTCAAGACTGCTCAAAACATTCGATTAACTCGATGCCACGGTCGTTGAATACCTACTGTAATTCAAGCTCGAGGAGAGCATACTCATTATTGACTACATTGCAGAAGATTCATTTGACTGACTGCATATGTGGTTGTGCGTCAATTAACTAATTGAGATTTTTTAGTGAATTCTCAACTCAAACTAGATATTTCATGAGGTTTTTCTATCATTGAGGATGTTTATAGCAAATTTGATTAAGTCGGCTCATGATTTTACACAGTCAAGTAGGGTGATATTTCAACTCAATCGGGCGTGGACGAAAATTAACACATGATTGCGTGAATCTTGAATGAAATTTCACCCAATTCATTTTCCAGTGTTCATCTAGGAGGTCATAAGTGGTATCAAATTTCAGATGATTTTTCGATGTCCTAATAGATGACTTCATAGAGGTTCTGTAAATTAAGAAAATCCATAGTTTCTCCAAACACTATAGTATCTTCTTTTGAAAAGTAGATATTCACGTGAATAAAGAACTATTGAAAAGAGCACACTTCAATGCAGAATAAGAATAGAATGAAGCTAAGTTTAATCACTCACCTTTTCCTCAGGGCGTTGAGAAATTAAGAGTGAAATACTGACTTTTGTTTTTCCTGTATCATGATCAAGCCATTACCTTCCTATGGGAACTAAAATACAGGTGAATAATTCGAAACATGAATCTATGATTTGTTCAGAATTTCACCAAAATTGAACAAAAAATAAAAAAGTTGAAGGGCGATCAATTTTGCCAACTTTTTTGCTGGCCGCTTTTTTGCCGGTGGGTGTTTAAAAGTTATTTCCACAGAATTTTATGAAATGATTTTCTCGAATCTCGAATCTCTCTTATCTTCTTCTAGACTATTCTAGAGAAATGGAAGATCTGTTCGGAGGTTCTCGATTGAATAATAAGTGAAAAGCATACCAAAGTGGTGTGCTACCTGAGTATTTGATTGAACGATAAACGTGTACAGCAGATTATACAGGGTGAGTCATAAGGAACTCTACAAAGGCCCCTGAGGGAAATGCCTAATATCTATCAGAATAAAGCGTCTTCTCCACTTATTTTCCAATATAAAGGGGTGGATCATGAGATTTGGCAAAAGCATCTTCTGGTCATAACTTTCCAACAGCCTCTTCGATCTGATTTCGTCTGATTTCTTCATGGAATATACTACTACTACTATCTAATCGAATGACTCATTCAGAATCGGGGATATCCAGGACCGTTATTGAAAAATTTTGATAGTTTAGTTTATAGCAAAAAGTTCATTTGTGAACTGTGACAGGAGATTTTCGAAGGACACAAACAAACATCGAGAATGAAATATTCCAAATTCTCCTCACACTTCCACTGGAGTTTGAAAAAAAAAACATGAATTTTATGAACGAAAATTTGGCAAAACATTTATTTTTTCGGAAATTAGTAGGTACTTCGGAATCCATAAATTTCACGAATAAAAGTGAGACTTACATTTTCAATGCGTCAGCTCAATGGAAATAAGCATATTATCTCATTCTCAGGCCTGGATTTGATGAGTCAATTTTTTTGTGGAGGATAATACTTACTCTGTAGATCTTTTTCAAATCAGTGGATGGCGTATCTGTGAAAATGTTGATGGCCATCGTTATGAATAATGCAATGATTTCAATTCACAGTTTTATCTATTCGGTTTGTTTCATTCAGTTAATTTGGTCCCTTATTTTCCGTACCAAAATTATTGTCCGCCTTTGTCAGTATAGCTTCTGAAAAATAATTGTGAATATACCTTTATTTTGTGTTCGAACATCCCGAACCATTTAAATCGATGACCATTAAAATCTAAACAGATACCCCATCCACTGATTTGGAAAAGACCTACAGGGTGATTATTACCCTCCACAAAAAATGAAATGACGAAAATAAGGCCTGATGGACATGAAACAACAAGTTGATTTCCATTCTGCTAATTCATTGAAAATGTGACTCTTACTTTCATTTGTGGAATTTATGCGTTGCGATTAGTGGTGCCCGCGAGAGTCTCGTTTTCGAGAGTCTCGCATGGTCTCGTCTCATTTTCGAGATTAGACTCGAGACGAGACTCAGACAAGACGAGACGAGACTTTCATTGGTCTCGTCTCGAGTCTCGTGCAAGACTTATCGTGTCTCGTGCGAGAGTCTCGCAGGTAAATATTTCTGCGTGCCGACTGCAGACTTGAGAATTTCATTCATAATAAAACATATTCAGAAAAAATTCAGTCTATTTAGAACAGATATACCATAAATTACTAAACAT